ACTGGGGTTGTCTTCCTACAAGTCAGCCAGTGAACTTCTGTGTCGTCACTCTGGCCAGGAATGTAGATTTTTATTGGAGCTTTATTTTGATCCTGATAAAAGCCTATATGCTTTCATCTTATTACTTTCCTCTGACTACTTCTTTTCTCTTAGGATGTATTTACTGTATTCCATAGTTTCTGATGGTTTGTATCATCATTCTCATTTGTTTTCCGGAATTAAAAAACATTTTTTTTAATTTTCTCTTTGACCCAATGGTTTTTCAACAATATGTTTGAGATTTGTGTGGTATTCTTTTTCTGTGCTTAATAATCACCTTCATGGCATTATGGAGTGAAGAGGGACTTGATTTCTGTCTTGGCTTTCTAGCCGTTGATACTGTGTCCCATTATATAAAATAAAGGTAAGGTAAAGGTAAAGGCCCTCCCGTTGTTCATCGATTTGCTCGAGCGGGCCCAGTAACGTCTCCATTGGAGACTTTGTTGTTACTGTGTCTGGCATATCGAATACGTCACGGGGAGCTTGCCAGGCTCTGCCGTGCGGGCGAGATACTCTCGGTAGCTTGCCGGGCTCTCTGAGAGGGGCGGAGGAATTGAACTCCGGTCGACCATGTTGGCTGCGTGCAAGGCAAACACCCTACCGCTGTGCTACCGCTCCACCCCTAATATTCATATGAGAATATTTCATATGTGCTAGAAGAATGTATTTGAGAGGAAGAGCATCTAATACATGTCTGTTAGAACTTTTATTTTCTTATTTTCCCTCGTGTTCAGCTGTCCCATGATGGGAGTGGGGTATGAAATTTTGACATATTGTTATGTTGGTTTCACTGTAGGTCCTTAAATCTTCCAAGTGGTTTGTGAACCTTGCTACCTCATTGATGCACATTATCTTAAGAGTTATATCCTCTAGATTGGTCCATCTTCTAAAACTTTGTGTGCGTGTGTGTGTGTGTGTATGTGTGTTTGTGTGCATGTGTTTTGGGCCATATCCAGCTTACTCCCTAGCTCAGAGATCACTATTGGTGATGCTCAGGAAACTATATATGGTGCTGGAGATAGAACCTGGGTCAGTTGTGTGCAAGTAAATGCCTTACTTGCTGTACTATCTTTCTGGCTCCAACCATAATATATCTTAAGTTTTCTTCATTTAAAAAAATGTGTTACCTCTTCTTTATTGATAAGGTGTGTGGCTTGGGATTGAGGTCATTGATTCAGAACTGACCTTTCCCTTCAGCTTCTGTAGGTCTTTTGTTTGCTTCTTTCGTGTTTCCTCAGGGTATTCTGTTTCTTTCTGGTGACACCCTCAGTTTAAGGAACACAGAGTGGATTGTTGGCTTGATACCTTTCTCAGGCAGCATTGAGAGTTCTGGTGTACTTGTAGACTTGTCTGGGTTCCTTTCCTGATCTCTTGATCTGATTGAATTAATTCATTTTCTCATTATTCTTGGTGATTCTTGGCAGCCAAGTTGTTGTTTCAAATTTTGCTTATCTGAGCACTTACATAGTGCTTCCAGTTACAATACCAGTTTTGGCTAATGCTATGACTTTACTGATTTCTGGCAACCACAGATTTCTTAAATGATAGCAAGTTCGGTCTGGTACATGTGGCTGTGATTTGTGTGATGACAGCAGGGGATTTGTGTCGCCGTGCTGTGCAGCTGCTGTTGCTCTGAGGTCTGGTAGCTTGGGCGCTGGCCGGAAAGCCCAGCTGGTGGTGTCTTGCAACGGATGCAGCTTCACAGTCCACTTGACTAGGATAGTGATGGGAGGCTGTGATCATGGGCGCCCAGTTCCTGCCTCCTGGCAGGCTGCTCACTGTACGGTGGGGTTTGGCTAGGAGATGGCTGCCTGGAACCATAGTTGATAGGGGCTTCCCTCTGAGATGTGTGCCCCCTGTTCCCAGTGGATCCTGCCTGTGACCGGGACCAGGGACCCCAGTTCGTGCTGGCCACGGCTGGTTCTCAGTCTTCCTGATGAAATGACTGTGGGCACAGAACTGAATCTTTTTGGATCATGTGGGTTTGGTGCCCTCCAGCCCAGGTAGAAGATGAAGTCTGGCGTGGGGAATCTTCCTTGGTCCCTGAGACGGTGTGTGTACGTGTGGTCAGATGATCTGCAGGCTGGACTGGGCACGGTGCCCTTCTGAGTGAGGCAGGACTGTGGTGGTTGCCTGCTGGCCTGAGCTCATTCTCAGTGACTAGCCAGTCTGGGCCTTCAGTTGGTTTGCAGTCTCTGGGCTCTATATCTTTGCGTTTCCAATGCAGACTGAGTTTTGTGAGAAGCTTGAACTTTGACCGTGTTAGTGCAAGCCTGTCGAATGATTCAAGGCTACATCAGCTCTGACTGTCAAGACCTAGCTGAGACAGCAGCCCACTGATCTGCCTCCTGTCGGGGTTGGACTGCTGCCTGCCTGCTTTGTTGGCCTTAACAATTCCCTGGTCTGGTTTTGGCTGGAGTCCTCTGTGTTCATCAGCTTCTTGGCCTAGGTTGGTGTTTTTGGTCCAGCACCAGATTTCTGGACAGAATAGCTAGAATAGATTCTCTTCCCTGGAAGACTGTGCCTCCCTTCCCTCCTCACCCAGGGGAGGCACCCCTGACCTCTGCACTGTGCAGAGTTGTGACAGCCTGAGGCTGTTTTCTGCAGTGAATTTCTTCAGTGAGACCCCTTGGGGGTTGCTGGGGTACTTTCAGTTCTTACTTGCTGCTTGTGCTATCTGTGGTTGCTTGTTTTTATCCATACGATAGCCAGACGGTGCAGACCTGCGTGTGAAGAGTCCATGCCACCAAAGCAAGCCTTAATCAGATAGATAGTTTCTTTGGATTTGTTTTGTTTTAATTTGGGGCCACATGTGTTGGTGTCTGTGGGCTGCCCCTGCTCCGTGCGGGGTTTGTTCATGGTGGTGTCTGGGGAGGGTATGCTGTGTGACTCAGCTTGAGGAGTTATGTTTCTGGCTTCGATATCAGGCCTCCCAGTGCAGCTGCTAGTTCATAGAACATATAGAGGAAAGGCAGATATTCATGATACCATGGAAGGATAGAGGGAAATCTCTGGAACCTGAGAAACTCAGGTGACTCCAGTGTCTTCAGGTAGTGTGAGCCTGTACATTGTGTTTGTCTGCATGTGGGTGTGGCCCAGTAGGAAGGGAGAGACAGATGATGGAACCAGAGAAAGGATAAGCGAAAATGCGAAGACTGAGGTTAGTGCACGGCTGAGGCAACTGCTCTGGGACTCACAGTACATCAGCCAGAGGCTTTCAGAAGCACGGTACAGAGGGTGGGGTGCTTGCCTTGTACGCAGCTACCCAGTTTCAGTCCCTGGCACCCAATATGGTCCCCTGCACCCTCCAGAAGTGATCTGAACACAGAGCCAGGAGTAAGCCCTGAGCACAGCCACAGCCAAGTGTACCTGCCCGCCCCCCTTCCCCCCCCCCCACCAAAACCAAGTCAGAGCATATCACTCTCCTGTTCAAAAACTTCCCGTCTCCCTTGGAGTAGAAGCTCAAGTTGTCAGGCCTGCAGATGGCCTGCTCTCCTCTTGTGTTTGGTTTTTATTTCTGTTCAGATCTCAGCCCTCACTGTTCTCTTTAATATACTCTGGCCTCTGTGCTCCTCCTGCTCTGGCCTCAGGTCTTGGTGTGGCTTCTTTTACTGACAGGTGGAATTCTGCAGATAACTGCTGGGCTTCTTCTTCTTCTTTTCCAGGCCTTTTTCTGACTGCCCCTGTCAGTGAGGCTACCTTAAACACTCCGTTGAAGTGCAGTGCTATTCTGTTACTCTTATCCTGCTATCCCCATAGCACTTCCTACTGTCTCTGTATCATAGAGTTGGTTTTATTTTGCCTGTCATTTGTAGGTTGCTGTTCTTTGTTCTTTATAGGGAATAAGGATGAAACTATGGGTAGAGAGCTACAGGAAGAACATAGGGAATGTTAAGGTGGTGATGGGAAGATGAGAATATTTTTGTTTTATTTAATTAAATCATTCATTTTTGGTTTGAGACCATACCTGGTGTTGCTCAGGGGCTGCTTGGGACTCTACTTGGGGACTCCTCCTGGTGATGGCTTGGGGACCAAGTGATGCTGGAAATGGAGTCTGAGCCTCTTATATATAGCACATGTTCTGGCCCACTGGGTTCTCTCTCCGGCCCTTCCATTCTTCCCATCCCCTTCCATTTTGGTTGGAGGCCACATCTATCAAACCTCAGGGCTCACTTCCAGCTTTGTGTTCAGGGGACAGACCTTAGAGGATTGGGGACAGTTGGGGTGTTGGGAACCCAACCCTTAACTGTTGTACTAAGGGTTGAGTCTCTTAGTACTTCAGTATCCTAATTTTTAAAATGAGTTTGAAGCAGGGAATTAACTGAGAATGAAATGTGATAGAAGAAGGGTACCTTAGAATTTTTGTTTTTGTCTTTTTGTTTATGATTTTTCTTTGTGGGCTTTACTTGTGTGCCCAGTGCCTACTCCTGGCTCTGCCCTCAGCACTCAGGGATCATTCTGGCTCTGCACTCAGCACTCAGGGATCATTCCTCATGGTGTGTGTGGGACCACGTCCGGTGTTGAGGATAGAAATCATGTCAGCTGAATGTACTGACCCACGTCAGAGCTTTGAGGAGCACAGAAAAGGTATCCAGTGTCTTGGATTTGGAAAGTGAGCTCAGAGGGTATGGTGAAGACAGATGGACAGGATTGAAAGCATAGTTATACTCTGTATTTTTCTGAGGTAGAGTTTTCCTCACTTAAATAACTTTAGCAACATTAAATTACAAGCAGTCAGAAAATGTGATGTGTTCAAGAAACAATGTTTTTAGAAGATAATAGTTTTTTTTATACTAGTGATGTTTGTTAGTGGTGGAATTACAATTAATATTAATTTTAATTGTATTAATATTAAATGCATTTCATTGTAATTTATATTATATGTAATTAATTGTAAAGATTAATATTTTATTAATGTAAAAACAACAATAAGCTCTAATTTAGAATAATATTCTTTTTAGCCTTGCCAATAATTCTAGGATTGTGGGACTTCTGGCCCAGCTGGAGAAAATCAATCTATCAGCTGAATCTGCAGAAACAGAAACTGCCAGATATGTTACATCAAAAATTCTTCATCTGGCTCAAAGTCAAGGTATGTGTTAATTTGTGTTTGGGAGTGCTTTTCTTCTCTTGTATTCTGTCAAAGTTTTTAGTATGCTTTTTAGTTCTTTAAGAATGTTCAAGTTTTTTGTAAATGGATGTTTTTCTGTAAAAATAGAACCATACTTAAAAATGTGCCTGTCAGGGTGGCAGCCTGGGGTGGGTGTGGAGGGCAGCTGACACTGGTGGTGATGGGGATGGCGCTAGTCTACTTTCAGCATACATCTCCCATCCTTAGTGATCCGTCCAACCATCATTTCCTTTCTGGTCCCTTTACTATCCCAACTGCCTTTTCCCCCAGAGAGGTCCCCTAGGTGAGCAGTCTACATCTACAGAGACTTCTGGATTCTTTTCGTTGTCCTCCCCATGTGGTGGGGATTTGTGTTGTTTCTTCATATTGGTGTGTAGGTATGGGAACTCGGTTCCTTGGTATGGCTAAAGTACCTGTGGCTGCGTAAGCGTGGGCCTGCCTAAAATTAGCCACGCCCACTTCTGAAAAGGCCACGCCCCCACGGGGTACCTGGTGTGTGTGGGGGGCGTAAAGACTGGGTAGGGGAGAAGACGAGCACAGCTTGGGGGAAGAAGAAGAAGAGGCAGAGGCTCAGGGCTGCTTTATTCCCAGTGTCCGAGAGGACGCCTCGGGGGCTTGCAGGGAGAAATCCAAGTCCTGGGTTTGAGTATGGGCAGATGAACTGACCTGGGTTTGGGGGAAGATCAGCACAGCTTGGGGGACGAAGAAGAAGAGGCCTGTCTTTTCCCCACCACATGAGGCAGGCTTCCAAATCGTGGAGCAGTCCTCTGGGCCCGGCCCTTATCTCTACTGTCTTAGGTGTTAGTCTCACATTATGGTAACTCACAGTTCCAGAAGGCAGAATCTAAACGATGGACATGGGAGTCTCCCGGTGGACGATTCCACAACGAAATAGACCACATCATATTCAATCGACGGTTTTGCCTGACTGATGTCGCTGTTGTCCCAAAATTTCGAATGGGATCGGACCACCGTCTCCTTCGTGCAAAATTCTACTTCACAGAGTAGGGAGAAAGGGCTGCAAAGTTCAAAAAGAGAACTCCCAGAATGACCACCAACTGGGAACTCTTTGGTACTATTGCGGCAACATGGGAAGATGCCATTGTTGACAACATTGACGAGGAATATGATCGACTGGTTCACCACCTCCATGAATGTGCGAGGAACGCCAAGAGAGAGATAGCCACAAAAAATTGCCTATCTTCGAAAACTCTTGAGCTAATTCGACAGCGTGGTTTGGGGCATGCCTCAGGCAACCGCAAGCTAACGTTCGAGCTCACAATGCAGTGCCGAGATGCGATCAAGGAAGACCTCAAAGAGAGAAGAGCAGAAGTACTGGTAGATGCGGCAGAAGCCGGGAAAAGTATTCGTAACGCCTGCCTGTCCTTCGCCAACTATAAGACCAAGATGACTGCCCTCCGACGTCCTGATGGATCCATCACATCCTCCAGAACGGCAATGGAGAAGATTATCTATGACTTCTACTCAAATCTCTTCGATAGCCATGTCCACTTGCCGACATACCAAATTCCACAGGATGGATATGTCGTTCCCAACGTTCTCCCTTCTGAAATCCGACACGCCATTTCGTCGGTAAAGAAACAAACAGCACCCGGCCCAGACAAGGTCAGACCTGAACACCTGAAGAACCTGCCGTCATACTCATCAATACACTTGCTTGGCTCTTCACTCGCTACCTGTCTGAATGCAAGGTTCCATCTCAATGGAAAACCAGCAGGACCGTACTACTGTTCAAGAAGGGAGACATCCATGACATTGGCAACTATCGCCCGATCTGCCTATTGTCTGTCATCTACAAGTTGTTCACTCGAGTCATCCTAAATAGGATTGGCAGAACACTAGATGAAGGACAACCATGCGAGCAAGCAGGGTTCCGCAAAGGATTCAGCACCATCGACCATATCCACATGATAACCAAGCTCATTGAGGTTTCTCGGGAGTTCAAGATGCCGCTCTGTTTAACGTTCATTGATTTAAAGAAGGCCTTTGATTCTGTTGAGACGGAAGCGGTCATTGAAGCCCTAGCCAATCAGGGCATTCAAGCCCAATACATCAGGATCCTCCGTGAGCTCTATTGCGGATTCACTACCAGGATCTCACCATTCTACAAAGAAGTGATCGTTGATGTCAAGAGAGGGGTGCGGCAGGGTGATACCATTTCACCGAAACACTTCAGTGCCACCCTCGAGAACATCATGCAACGACTGGAATGGGAAGGAATGGGAGTGAAGATAGATGGTCAGCAACTACACCACCTCCGCTTTGCTGATGACATTGTTTTAATAACACCAAACATCAGCCAAGCGGCATAAATGCCGACTTTGACCGTGAGTGTGGAAAGGTAGGACTACAGCTGAATCTTACGAAGACAATGTTTATGAGAAACAGCCTTGTTCCTGACGCCCCATTCGCTCTCAATGGAACCACCATATCCGAATGCAACAGCTATGTGTACCTAGGTCTAGAGGTCAACATGACAAATGATCTGGCACCCGAGCTGCGCAGGAGGAAGAAAGCGGCTTGGAACGCCTTCAAGAACGTCGAAGAAATAGCTAAGAGGATGAAGAACCTCCGGCTCCGGGCACATCTCTTTGATTCCACTGTTCTTCCTGCATTAGCATATGCCTCAGAGACCTGGGCCCTATGCAAACAAGATGAGAACGCCATTCAGGTCTCCCAAAGAAGAATAGAAAGAGCTATGCTTGGAATATCACGTTTCACTCAAATGAGAGAACGAATCCGGAGTTCTGACATCCGTCGACGATCAAGGATCAGGGACGCTGTCTCATTTGCCAAGGTGTCGAAAATCAGATGGGCTGGTCACGTAATGAGATTTAAAGACGACCGCTGGACTAGAGCTGTTACTGATTGGATTCCACGGGATGTCAAAAGACCGTGTGGCCGCCCACCTACCAGATGGTCAGACTTCTTTGTCAAGATCATGAACGATCGTTTTGAGGCCCTTCATGTTCCCGAAGCGAACAGATGCCATTGGGCTACACTAGCACGCGACAGGGACAAATGGAGACGTTACTGGCGCCCGCTCGAGCAAATTGACGACTAACGGGAAGTTAAGTGATTAAGTGATATTCCACAAATGAGTGCAGTTCTATGTCTGTCCGTCTCTGACTAATTTCACTTAGCTTGATACTGTCCATGTCCATCCACATATATGCAGATTTCATCTTTTCTAATAGCTGCATAGTAGTCCATTGTGTAGATGTACCAAAGTTTCTTTAACCAGTCATCTGTTCTCGGGCACTCATGCTTTTTCCAGATTCTGGCTATTGTGAACAATGCTGCAATAAACATAGAAGTGAAAATGTCATTCCTACTATATTATTTTTGGGCTGGAGCGATAGCACAGCCGTAGGGTGTTTGCCTTACAAGCGGCCAACATGGCCGACCTGAGTTCGATTCCTCCTCCCCTCTCGGAGAGCCTGCCAAGCTACCGAGAGTATCTTGCCCGCAGGGCAGAGCCTGGCAAGCTACCTGTGACGTATTCAATATGCCAAACACAGTTACAACAAGTCTCACGATGGAGGTGTTACTGGGCCCGCTCGTTCAAATCGATGAATAATGGGAGGACCGTGACCGTGACTGTGTTATTTTATATCTCTGGGATCTGTTCCAAGAAGTGGTATTGCTGGGTTACATAGGAGCTCAATTCTAGGTTTTGGAGGAATGTCCATATTATTTTCTAAAAAGGTAGAACTGGTTAGTATTCCTACCAACAATGTGTGAGAGTCCTTTTCTTCCCATATTCATGCCAGCACTGATTGTTGTTGTACTTTTGTATGTGTGCCAGTCTCAGTGGTGTGAGATGATATCTCATTGTTGTTTTCATTTGCATCTTCCTGATGATTAGTGATGTAGAGCATTTTTTAAAATATAACAAGCAAGCTTTTTTTAAAAAAGAGTTTTAGATTTTATTTTCATAAAGTTGTTCACAATTGTTGATTATATTCAATATTTCAACACCAGTCCCATTGCCATTACACCTTCCCACCACCATTATGTTGAAGTTTCCCACCACTACTCAAGCCTGCCCCATAGGCAGATGCTAGATAATTTATTCTGTATTGCCTGTTATGAATAGTATGAGATGTCTATAAAGGGTCTATCAGTGATTAAAAAAAAGAGCAAAATAATTTTTTTTATGAGATATCAACTGTTTGCTCCTGAGAACATAAAATTTAAATAATTGGGGTCCAGAGCCATCCTTGCAGCAAGCTGCTGGCTTCTGAGATTAATTTGTGAGTCTCTGGATCATGGCCATTAATATGCTTAAATAGCACCCAGAGGCAGTTCGTGGGCATGACAGTCAGGACCCTAGAGGGAAGGGGAGATGGAAGAGGACAGCCCAGTCCCGACCCCATGAGGCCTGGTGTTTTCAGTCACTGGTCCCACGTATCTGGGTTTTTCAGCGGATTGTGTAGAGGGTCCAGGATGAACCTGTGAAGGTCAGCTGAGAGGGTGTTGGGGATTGGTTTCTAGGGCTACCAGGGTTCATCTGTTCCCATTCGAGATGCCCGGTGAGATCAGCCTGGTGCATGGTCTGGAGCCATCCCTGCCGCGAGCTGCTCAGGTCTGAGATTCATTTATGAGTTTCCTAGAGCATTTTTTTCATGTGCCTTTTGTCCATTTGAATTTACATTTTGAGGAAGTTTCTGCTTATTTCTTCTCCCTATTTTTTGATGGGGTTGGAGGATTTTTTTCTTGTAAAGTTCTACTAGTGTCTTGCATATCCTGGATATTAAGCTCCTATATGGTGGCTATTGCATAAATAATTTTTCCCATTCCTTGGACTCTTTCTGCATTTTGGTCACTGTTTCTTTTGAGATGCAGAAGCTTCTTAGTTTATTGTAGTCCTGTTTACGCTTGTTTCCAATTGCTTGCTCAGTGGTGTTTCATCCTTGAAGATGCTTTTAGCTTCATTA